AGTGTGCTTGATCTCTTCGGCTGGTGCATGGGGTGGACGACCGTTCACTTCAGTGGTGGCGTGTGCGGACGCTACGATAAGGGTAGGTTCAGCGACACTAACATTTAATCAGACTTAAGGGCAGTGGACGCGATGGGTGGAGGGCGGAGCTGGCACGTCACTGAATGTTGTTGGTAGACCAAACCCGACAGCGCACTGGAGGCTATGGTTGGGACGTCCTCCCAGCGCTCTTCCGCCAATGAATTGGCTTACATCATCGAAACTGCTCCTTCTTCTGGCCATTGTGTTTGCTGCCTTGAAACACCTGAGCTCAGAAGTTTTAAAGGTTCTGAAGATTCATGTGATCATTACGTAGGACATATTTGACAGTACCTGTAATTCCATCATTATCAGATTTTTCAACATTCAAAGTAATTGAATAGAAGGGTTAGAACACAGTTTGTCAATACAAATAATTCAGGTAATTGAAGGCTCAAACATAGCGTACGAGATCCAGCTGAGTTCAGTTCCGACTACACTCTATCTGTTCATGGGTGATGGAGGTAAGATGTCTTAATTACTGCCAGTAAAAGCCCCTCCCTTTCCTAAACCCCCCTCTCCCCCGTCCTTTCTATAGATGTTGCTGGAGTCAGCGGACGCGACAGGCTGTTGAAGTGTCGTAAAGTGAATAGCAAAGAGAAGCCAAGCGCTCGTACAGGCAATTTGCAGCGCACCGTGGTGAAAGGCGACTTTATAAGGCCCTGTTGAGTGGAAACTTGTCTTCTAGTCGTAGAATCAAGGCTGAATCTGTTTGTTGTCGCGGAGGGAATACTACACCTTTATGGTGCTTGTTACCGTTGATCTACCACTCGAGAAAGGTTAGGTAACCCCTGCTCAAATCCCTCAAATGCAGACTGGCCCAGCCCTAAATCTCCGGGCCAGGGTGAATAACGGTCGAGGAATTCCTCGACCATGGCTCTGTACTGTGCGAGAGTAGTGCCGAGAGTGAACGTACGCGCGGAGAGCACAGACGGCTCGCGCATGGCGAGTGTGAATGTCCGCGCGGGAGAGCGTAACTGATCAGGCGAAAATCCTCGACGTGCCGTTGAGGAATCCTCGACCGATATTCACCTGTTCCGGACTCACGTAATTCGTGCGAGATCAACCTGGTATGATGAAAATAACGACTCGTACGTTGAAAAACAGTGTGTGGGAAAAAAGCGTTTGCTAATATCGCCACGACTTCAAAAGCATCCAAACGGCGTCAAGCAATCTTTCTTTCAAGCACTATTCCTTTTCATCATAATGAAGTTTTACATTTGAAGGTCACACAAAGCAGCTGGTATTGTACGGTACACGAGATGGGAAACTCGGACTCGTCGATGTGAAACCCAAAGATGGTGAAATCAAATGGGAAATTACTACAACGTCTGAAGGCGGTTTGTTTATTCACCATTCTGTCCGAAAAAAGTGCTGACCTAAGAAAATCCTAGTGCTGGTTCGACTGCAGAACAAAATCATGAAAGCAACAAGCTAGAACCAAATCAAAGGCAAACCTTGGTTAACTGTGTGCTACGAGCGCTTCGTAGTGATAGCTTAGCTGCGGAACGACTGAAAAGTGGAAAGGAAAGCAAGAGAACTTCAGAACGCTGAATTAAGGCCTTAACCTTCAATAAGGTCGGATGTGGTACGATGGCGAGACAGGGCGATCAAAGAAGACAAAATACGCGCGAGAGCACGTCGTTTGAGAGAGCACTGATCTCTACATCAATGCACGCTGATCTCACCATCTTGCGCGGTGGTGGGAAAGCGTTGGAATCGGGGTCGATGGTTGCAGGCCCGTAAGGATTAGCGCCCTAACCGCGCAATTTTAAGCACGAAGCTGGAGTGATCTAGGTAGGTACGGATTCATGCTTGCGATAGGAAAGAAGGTCTGCTCACCAAAGTAAACCCCTTCTTGATCTAAAAAATTCTGTGAACAGTTAGGAAACAGTTGGCCTCGTAACATAATAATCAATGGAACATTGAGGAGAAGGCAGATAAGAAAGAGCTCTCTTGTCTAATCCCTTTTTAAGACAACCTGGCCACCTTTCTGGCGAACATTGTCGTGAGCGAAGTTGGTGCGGTTATCCACATCATTCACGACGCATGTGAGATGAGTAGGAAACGTCTTCTGAGCTAACATAAGGGGAATCTTCTTACAATTGCGCAGAATCTTCTCTAGTCGGCCTCTATAAAACATTTTGACGTTCATGCCGTTCCTCCAAAACTCTCCGTCTTCAAATACCCGCCCCCCGCGCCCCCCCGGCCTGCCCGCCTAAAATCACCATAGTCATCCGTCTTGAATGCTTCGCATAATTTGATTTCTATTATGCTTCATCAGCGCGTATCCATCTCCTAGACTTTCGCATTCCACAGTCTTTGTTATTGCTGCCTTCAAGTACTCTGATGTCTTCGGTAGCCCGATCTCAGAGTCTACGCGCAATAAGATCTGTATGTAGGCTTGCACACTGTATGTGAGAGTGTTTATTTGCTGGCACAAAATTCTTGGAACTTCCGGATAGTGTCTCTAAACGTAGCGGTACTCCAACATAGTTGTGGTGACACCGATCGGTTGTAGGTTATGATTGGAACGATGTTGGAAGTCGAAGTCAGAATCGTGTTTTTGTCGTCTTTTGAGCAAAACCTAGAAGATTCTCCCAGAAAATACCATGCTTTTTTGTGGGACATTTTTCTTTTTTAGAAAAGTACCTGTAACCTGTGAGGCGTTGGTCCGCATGTGTTTTGATTTCAACACCAGCGTAGGGGCATCCATCAGTGGCAACACCGTCGGTGAAGCTAACAATTTTCACTTCTACTTTTTTGCCAGCTGGTGCCTTAATAAAAACGACTTGAAAGCACAAAGATTTTTGTACGCGAGTGACAAACCTTGATCCAATAGTTACACTTCATAAAGTCTTCGCGCTGAACGACACCTGAGCTTGTATCGCCGAGCCTGTCCTTCAACTGCTGCCATTGGCCGCTTGCCACCAATTCCTCACCACACCCAGCTGGCTAAATTGGATTCGATACAATAAATCAGGGAGGCCGATTGTACCAAGATCAACGCTTTCTTCTGCAGGCAATCTGTTTCTGCCAGACACAATCTGACCATTCCTTTATGGATTGAGGTCCAGATTTTATGCTCCAAATTCGATTCAGACACCACGCGAAATTTTGGTGCTTCACGCTACCACATCGTTTCCTCCTGTTAAAACGGCGAGCGAAAACCTACCCTTCTGTCACATAGCGGGCCACCATATCCGCTGGGGCAAATGCATTTGCTGCAGTCACGAGGATGAGGGAATCCATTATTTTGACAAGACGTGGGCTTATCCTTGCATTTGTCTAGAAATCAATCAATATGAGATTTGACGCGCTAACTTTGGATTGCAAACAATTTACCTGTGCATTTGTAGTGCTTGTTGATCATAAGCAGGTCGTAGAAGCCAATAAAAGGCGAACCAAGCGTTTCTGTGTATTTAGCATCCTTTGGTACCATTGTCGGCTTCCTATTCGCAGAAGCGCTACAAAAAGGGGCTCAACTTTCCGTGAGACGCTACACTATTACGTGTGCATTCTTCTACCTTGTAGCTCCGTAATGCATTATACTGCCCCAGTCATACGTGAGGTTGTAGTTGTAATTGTTTGCGATCGTTCGCAGCACAAACTGGTCAACCCATTCAGGCTGAAACATTTGAAGAACATCATATATGGCGACCAGTCCATGGTTCCCTTATAAAGCACCCTGATATTAGCCACGTCGACTGTGATAAATTCGTCACGATCATGTCTTGAGTGCGCATGGTAGAATCCCAGTGCATGGCCGATTTCGTGAGCTGCGGTTCCGACCTAAATCCATCGAATACCATAAAAACACGATGAGACCGTGAAACAGTGCTATTTTCATGCTAAGCTGTAAGAGAGCGAAAAGGTGGTTGCACGGCTTTTGTTGGACTCATGAAAGTTGTAGGTTAGGCACCAGTTTTGAAAGGCTCCTATCAGAACATCTCACTGTGTGCTCAGAAACTTTCCCGGTTTTCGCAAAAGCATCACTGAGCGATAAGCTTACTGATTCGCAGCCTTGGCCGAGTGAAATGTTCTGCATGCCACCAACTCTGCCAACAGACGACCAACATCCGGTCCCTACCCACACACGTACTCTGTCCTTTGCTGAAATTGATAATTGCGGTACCCTGTTTTCATTTCTTATCACTTTTTCCTAACCATTTTTATCTTCCTTAAAATCGATGCAGGTATCAGCTTTCCATAGCTCCGTCGCCTTTTTGAAGACACTTTTAACTATTGGGCCTGAACATTAGCTGAGGGTTTCTAGGTCGGCGTTCTGTGTTTGATGATTAGAGTTTGACAAAACTGACTTGCATTGTCGTCAAAGAAATAGTTAACCCCTTCATGCCACCTTTTGCCAGGGTATCGTGGATCTCTCATAGCTTGTCGTTTGGGGCGAGTGCCGTCGTCGTTGATGTCGTCAACAAGTTGATCTTCCTGCTCCCTGCAAACTTCCTTATGTTTATAAAAAAGTCGAACTAGGCAGTGCCTTCAGATAGGCTATTCTTTCTTTCTAGTAGTATGTCGAGAAGTATTGACGGAATTTCGCATTTAAGGAATCCCCCGAGAAGGAAATTTACAATGCATGCAACCCGGTCCTTTTGTCTTAATGACGCTTTTTTGCATTCCGAGCCATTTGCGCTTGTTTCGTAATAACAAAAAGAAATGAATTTGTAAAGACGAACTTTGAAAGTACCATATCCCCTTGGAAAAGAGCGTCGGCAATGTGGCTATTCATGTTGACTTCCTCAATCGAGTCGCCCATCGGTTGCACTTTATCAACGGACTTTCTTTTGAATAGCTAAAATATCTTCAAGTCACTAGCTACAAATAGCTACCTTGACAAAGTGTGCAAACCTTCAGTCTCTCCAGTAGCTCCGCTCTTTGCTCCTTGGTCAAAGTGAGCTTCTTCAGGATCTTATCCTTAAGGCCGCTTATCCTTTTCTTGAAAGCAGCCATGTTGCTGTCGAAGACCTAAGAAGTTCAATACGGTGTAGATCACAGCCGAATATAGCAACAACTACCTTACCTCCTTGATGCGATCAGCAGTCTTCTCTAGCTTTGTCGATAACTTTATCCTTGATTAGTCCCTTGATGCTGCCAGCAGGGTTTTTGAAGTCGATCAAGCCTGCGCTCACGCATACCGCGAGAAGAGTGAGGAGAACAATGCTCTCTTCATCCTGAAATTTCATCACGAGATGTCAGATTCTATTATTGTAGATTTGAGTTTGCTCTTGCTATCAAATTCAGAATTGCAAATGGAAGGAGAGGGAAGGTGACCTGACTCTCTCACTGTATTATACTGTAATCATGACGTGACGATGAGGAGGCGGATGTATTTGGACGTGTTGAAACAATATCACAAAATCAGTTTTGCATGCAATTTACAGCGCTCTTCCATCCCCTCTCTCCACTATAGCCAGAGGTGGAGCAATTGCATTGGAGAAAGACATCTCGTTAAGAGGATTACCTGAAGGAGCGAATCATTATTGAGTCTTAATTATCTGATGTGAGAAAGAAGGAAGGAAGCCATTTGTACGCCTGAAGCAAAACTTTGGGTAAAATCTTTCATCGAACCTTGTCATGCCTACCAGGGTTTAAGATCGGAGTCTTTGGGGCTTGAGAGGATAAAAGGTGAGAAGTTATGCGGTTATTACTTCCATTTGTACATTCGCAGTGGCATTTGAATGCGATGTGGCCTATACAATGACTTGCGGGGGCCAGCCGATGTACAAGTCAGTGTTTTTATCCTCCCAGACAAGTCTGGTACCAATTAACCGACCCCGGAGGGATGGAAGGCTTGGTTGGCCTCGGGTGACTCGACAGTCTGCGCGTGTAAGCGTACCACTGCACCTTTGTTCGGTGTGATGCTCAAAAGCAGATCAAAGCCGCGCAATCATTTCGAACGTAAATAAAAGAAGAAATACCCTGACCCCTCTCAGCAAAAGACTTTCATTCTGTAGACGATTTTGAAGACGGAAGCTGTACGACTTTACTGCTTGTCATTGATAAGGCTTCATGGTAATCATCTTCCGCAGAAGGGTATCGGTTTATTTTTTCACAGTGTCTACTACTTCTTCAGAAGTTCTTATTTAATTCGATTGGTCGTTTTCTAGCTCATGGTAAAGGACGACCTATCTACCGATGTCAGCTGTGTCAACCCCGACCCTGTGTTGTTCATTCATCGCTAGCTTCTCTTCGACAATGTATCCATATTATTCTTTTTCAACCAGTTTAGAACATTGCGCATCTATTATTATAGTTTAGCTTCATCAGTTGGCATCAATACCGTGCTCGGGTCACCGAGATGAGTTTTAGCGAAGGGCCCTCTCCCTTTCGATGGTTTGACGGGATTTTTTAGGAAGGCCATTCTGAGGGCGTTCACTGCTCATAAACAATGATAGTGAACGCGCACGTCTCTGCTGCATGACTTTCTTCCCTCTAAAGGCATCCTTCGGGTTTTAACAGGACTGGCTCTATTTTATTTATTACAGGTGATGACAGGCTCACTCAGGCATCAGTATCAAGTTGTTATCCATTCACGAGACTCCGATTACCCCGATGATACTGGGTAGTGTGTTATGAAAAGATGAGTGTGGGTGTGTTGTGTTTGTGTGTTGCTGCTGGAATTTCATCAGTCGAAAGCGAGATCGCGCTACTCTAAATGGATCATACGTGAGTTCAAATTTTTTTGTCAAGGTTCATCGACCGGCGCTACCTTAATTATTATTATATAAAACCAGATTAGTCCCCCGTCAACCGCCGGGACCTTCCTTTAATGCGCAAGCTTTCTATCCTCCGCTATGGTCCCTTCCTCCTGTGACACCAACACCTCCTGGAAGTGACGCGTATGCAACACAATGGTGTTTCATACAGTAGAAGGGACACAATCATGATATGACGGTAGATTTTTCGCTTCCCTTCCTCATCCTCCCTTCCTCTCTCCACTGCCCTCCAGCTGCCACTGCAGCACCATGTGGAATGAACGGAAGTGTGCTAAGCAGGTGTTTATATAGCCCTAAGAGTGTTATCACAACTATCCTGCTACAAAACATTGATATCTCAAATCCTGTAAGCTACCCGATTTGTTAGCGGTTTGTTTATCCCATGAGCTTCCTTCTCACTCACTTCATTTTGCGGACGGACACACATACATACATACACACACATACAGATACACAAACCGACACACAAAGTTAGCGCTTTATAAAATAGAAGGATAATGATTGTATGGTGTCCTTTATTCCTGATAATAGACTTCCTCAGTTATATTTCAGCACTGCGATGAGTCGATCACGGGTCTGGATTGTGGACGTGTCACTTCTGAAGAAGAAAACGAGATTATCATCTGCACTTATACAGGTACATGATTCATGTGAGCTTTAGGAATGTTCCCTATTTATGTGCTGTCAGTACCTGCACTGTCAGGCATCGAGATCTGAGATATAATTACATTAATGAGACAGGTCCTCACAAGCTCCTCAAAAGCCTCTGCACTTCACTGGTGTTGTTTCAAATATTCTGCGAAGATGTTTTCAGTGTGGATAAGACCATGAAGATTATTCCACCCAACGTGACCGGGTCCCTCGTTTTCAAGCCTCAACACCCTTAGCCTCTGATAAGCCTCTATCTATCGGCGATATTAGCTCTCTTGAGGCAGTAACTGAAAGCAAGCCACAAAGTCGTCATCTACGCTACTGACCACTTGGCCATTCCACAGCGTTATGTTGCTGTTCCTGATATGGGCATGCTTCGGCTCTCCTTCAAGTGAGGATGCTTTGTTCCCCTGTTGTACTTAACGGATTCCATGGATTATGCCGTACAATTGTAACCCTCCCACACCAAATGGTGGCCTTCATACGGTCCGATTCTCTGACATGGTTGTTAGAAGACGCGCCTTTCGCCCTCTCCTGGATTCATAAAATTTATCGCCTATAATATTCGAACTACCAGGTTTGCTCCGCCCGCTATCGCGCGCATCACAGGGTAGGGAGGAACCACGGAATAGCAGCATGACGTACTCCATTAACCACCTCACTATTGAATGTGTTATACCTCCTTCATACCCCTTCTCTCTGGCAGCCCCATGTCTCCTCCCATTAACCTCTCTCCTATACTCCTTCGCCCCTCCTCTTCTGCTTCGAATTATATGCTTCCAATATGTTCCTGGATTTCAAAGCATGAAAACATTTTTCAGGCTGGCTATTCTCCTTGACAACATCGAAATCTGGGGCCGTTTCGCAGATCACGAAAGCAGCAAATGTCAACGTTAAGGTTCAACAGCTCAAGTAAGCGCTTTTCGGAAATGATCATGACCTCTCAACCATTATTTGATTTATTTGGAGCACACCACGGTGGGCCCTCTTCAGAGGTTTTCAATAAAATTCTTAAAACAAACGGATACGCAAAGAAATTCAACGTTGACTCCCTCAATGCGATTGTCCGCTGGGCATGTTTAAGATATTAGGGGGACCACATATATGTTTCTAGTCGGACGATCTAAACCTCGACTCGTTTTCTTTCCAAGCGAGGCCGGATCCGCAAGGTGTTTGCTGTGCTGTTTAGTTGGTAACGTTAGTTTGAATTATTAGATAGTTGACCAATTCATATCAAAATCCACCAAGCCATGACTTCAGTTCTTTGCTTCAATAGTACTAATTAAGAAATGTCTCTACTTGTAACAATGTTCAACAACTGGTAACTGCTTGATAAGTCAAGAGAAGTTCTTATTGGAAGTTATAAATGAAGAGTAAACTGTTGTCAAACTGATTATTCTTTTGGGAGCGCACGCATTCGCCTTTACTCAGTCATCGGGTGGTGGGAGGTCGAATTCGTCTCTGATCAGTGGAGCTTAAGATGTATTTGAGGCAGCAAAATCTAGGCGCTTCTTACTCATAAGTTAAAGGGCATAGCAGGAAGAGGAGTTGCCAGACCAGAGCGTTGGAGTAGAGGAACTTGAGGAGGTAGCGAGAGAAGATTGGTGTTCTCGTTTGTGGGCGTTGAGAGTGCTACGAAGTATCTCTTTCTACTTCTGAAGCGGCTGTTAGGGCGGCAGGTGTGTTAGCTTGCTGCTAAGTTTTGGGCCGATCGAATTGGGATTTCAAAGAGTAAGTTGCAGTATGGTGTGCCTGATTGCTGATGGGAATTACATTTCTTTGAGACGAGAATTGAGAACTGTGCAGACAAGTATTGATGCGAGAACGTCAACGTCTTATTGTGTCTTATTGATTTATTGACAAGAAAGGTTTTTTTGAAAACAATCGGCTTACACCGGACATTTAGTGGGTTTTATAAATGTCAAATTTGTATGACATATTTGGATCCATTGCTTTCACACTATAGGCTGGGACATCTCAGCGATCGGAGTGTTGGCCGTTCGAGGAATCATTGTTTTTACGTAGGAGCCTGGTAGAAAAAATGAAGGTAGGCAGTAAAACACTATTTTTCGCTGTAGGGTGTTAATTCTAACTTTTATTGGTTTGGTGTGTTCTGAACTGTACCATAATTTTAGCCACTTCGGTTCAGGGTGCATGAAAGTCAGCGTACCTGAATCCATATTCATTGATAGATATCGATTTGGCCGATGGTTAATAGTGACGTGCCCCTACCATGATCGTAGAAGAGATGGAATTGGAATCATTTAACGCAGTGTTACAAACAATGCCAATTAAACTCTATGGGCCCAACCTCTACTTGCGTTCTTAGGAAATGGTTAGTATGACTCCTCAATAAGTCGGCATGTGTTTGTACTTTCAGATTCACGACTCCTTCGAATTTCACCACAACACAACGCCTATTCGCTTACCATTGAACTTGTAATACCAATTGACTTTATTATTGTCCAGGTGAGTCTCGTACAAATTTTCGGTATATCAAGAAAAACATGCTGTCCATGTCAAAAAGTCCCACCATTTAGAGTAAAATGCCTGCTCGGCTAGTTGAGGTGGAAAGAAACGCGTCAGTTGTTTGTCAACAAGCACAAAGTGAATATGTGAGTCAGCGTTTTGTATTTTCGTAATGTACCATTTCTTGAAAAAGTTTTCGTTTTTTCATTTTTTGCTTCGAACTCTTTTTTCTCATCGAATGCAACTAAATTTTTCATGACTGAAAAGCATGCGCACAGCAAAGTAGACATTGAGTGGTTCCCTCAGTGCATTCGAGTTTAGAGCTACTTGGTGAAAGGGGATCGATGTACCTTTACACCTGCCTAAGCAGGTGACAAGGGTTAGGCCTTGCCGAGCTCCATCTTATTGGACATGGGTTGTACTCCTATCGTCCGTACACAGCTGCCGTGTCGTCTGCGCTCTCCAGCAAGGCATGCTCTTTCGGTATTTGCTTCTCTTGCGCAGCTGTCGTCGTCACGACTGACCTTACGAAAGAGCCTAGCGCATGATATTGCTGGTTTCCTCGGTTCTTTGCTCCTCTTCGGAATCCCTTGTCCCCGAAATTATTGGCTCTAACACCCATTTTATCGGTGGCACGCGCCTTCAGTGATCGAACCAACTGTAATCCTGGTAGTAATGAGCGGGAACCGGCATATTCCAGACACCCTTTTGGTCGCCTTCAAGGTCAAGAAGAGAGCTACACCAGATGGATCACTGGCTACCGCTATAGTCTCCGCTTATCTCATCAGAAAGTCGGAAATTCGAAGGGCGGAAGGACGAAATCCAGAAAGTCTCAATGTGCTTTTCGAGCATCAATTCGTCCACCGCCAACATGTACAGTTTATTCGAAATTAAGCGTCATTGTGCTTCTCAACTTATGCATTCCAAGAGCGCCGAAACGAGCTACCGCCTATAGATTTTTGGATGGATCTTCCTATACGCCCATACAGAGGTTGCACTCGCGATCATATGACATGTCCACGTTATAACGATAGTAAGCTGGCACATAATCCGCCCAGTCCCTTTCGAAACAGCAAGAGATGACTGTACGAAACTTCAGGCACTCGTTCAAATTCGAGGTCACGAGACGAATAATGACACTTGACGTCACTGTGCTTACTCTTCTTCGGACGCACCTGATCCGGTCTTTACCATTGTAATGATAAAAAATAATAAATGATCCATAATTCCTTCATACGGGTCCCATTACACCACGAGTACAAAATTCAACACTGTCCCTCCGCAGACCCGTTCCAACAGGTTCAAATACAATCACCCGTGCCCCGCCGAACATTGTCAATGCGAGCATGGGGCGCGCGCCAGTAGCATTTAAAAGACTCTCAGCCAACTGCTCATTTTCTAGCTGAGAGCAACTGTATAATAAGAACCCGTTTGGTATACAACCGTGATCATGGAGTGATGCCATTCCTTGTTCGTTCCACGTTGTCTCTCACTTGATTTCTGTGACTCTTCTCGTGCACCTATGGTAGCCGAGGTGCAAAAAGCTCAAAAAAATCTGCTCAGGCCCCGTTTTCGCAACAGCACTAAGCAGTCCTGATGCATTCACTTTTTAGAACCCGTGGTCGCTCTTGGCCTCATACCGTTGCCAAGCGAATGTGAGCCGGATCGAATTACGTGTGAAGGTCGACGAAGGAACGCATGGTCCGGTTGTGGTCTACATCTGCCCCAAAACGCATCCGAAGACCGTTCAGGTGAGATCAGCAATTCCAATATTCTTTTTTACCATCCTTATGATGCAGAATGCCCGTTTCATCAGGCTTATAAATAGAACAGAGGGAAGTTTTCATTTCGCTCCTGTGTCGTCATCGAGGCAGACACGGTAGGTCAAGGAAGACCAGTACCGCGCCCAGACTGAGGATTGAAATTCTGATCTGGCTGCGATTAATCTAACTAGTGATCCATTCATTGAATCATTGGGTAAGAGGTCTTCAGAACTACCGTTAGGAAAGAATTTGGGATACGGCAATCTTCGTCCTGACGCGATTTTTCACCCTATGAGTTGCTGCTAGTTCCTTCCCACCCGCATGAAAATTTATGAAATGCGACGCAGATATTTATTATTTATATATTTACCTAGCTTATTATTTACTAATCAAATAATGTTGGAACCTTGAAGAGCGAGAAGCAAAAGCTGCATTGTGGAGATTGAGGACGGCTAAAAGGCATCAATCTCATTGTCAGGCCAACGCAGATAGATCTAAAAATTGTTGAAGATCATATTCTAGAAAATCGGAGTGCCTCTGAGAAGAAGAATAGAATCAAAGTCATGGGGGATGAGTAACTTCCAGATGAACCCCTGCAGCAAACGACAATGGTCCCTCAGAGCCATAATGTGGTCCTCAAACTTGCCGAGACTCCGAGATCACGGGTTGTGGCCTTTTTTCAGCTTATTTTCCATGTGTAGATGGCCAAATGAGAAAGTTCAATAATAAGTGTCCTGTCATGTGAATAAAAGTGTACACTGCACTCTCACACCTATGAATGACATATGCGGTTGGGTGCATAGTAGTCAATGATGATTCACAGTCAATCGATACCATACTTGCGCGACTAACTTCGTATAGCATACATTATATGAAGTTGAGCAAAAGTGATCATTATTTGGACCATTCAGATTCGCTCGTACGAGGTTAAGCCTCTCTCCTCCCACAATCGCGTACATTCATTCGATGTAAACCGACCAGATGAACACGTTGTCATTCGGTGTAGTGTATTTTCCATTTCACATTTTTTTATTAATCTTATTTATCGGCACTCCCATGGACTTTGCGGGGGGGGCGGGGGTAGGGGTGGCGCATTCTAAAACAAGGCATTTGGAGGGCATGATAAGTGAACTAGAAACTAACTTAGGAGAAACGGACAGGAAAATAAGAACTTTTCACAGTCTTTTTCTGAAATCCCTGCTCCGATAGCCTGAGACAAAATCCATCAGCAGGCCAAACCACCACGCTCGCACGTTTTTGAAAGTTTCGACCCCTTTAGGAAGGTCTCGCATGCGACCCCGCTCACATCACCACGTACCATCCACACCACCTCATGAGCTGTTTATACCGTAAATTGATTTCTGAACCAGTCGACACACTCAAGCCCGCAACCTTTTCCTCAAACGACGGGGAGGTAAAATGAAGCGGACAATCCACAATGTCGTTCTATTGTACTCTAAACCTCAGTGAAACTTTCGCCGAGCTCGTTGACAACCCGTCCCAAACGCAACCCTCTTCAACGCCCCCCATCAACCTCTTCTCACAATGGTAACCTTGCAACTCTAAAATGAAATCTCCTTCCCCACAAATGCGACCTCCTTCCGTTCGAATAGTGCTATACGAAAAAAAAAAAAAAAAAAAAAAAAAAAACGGTTGGCCCTGAGCCAAATATTGTGAGTGGTTTACTCTCTTATATTCCTTCCTTCCCCCCCCCCCCCCACCTCCCAAATAATATGGGCGCCTATTTGTATACGTACACTTAGAAATACGAAACATTCGATATTTTATTTTTTTCAGGAATGCTGTCTTAATTTTGAACAGTAGGTGTAATTCTGAGACCTATGTAGACTATAAAATAGTCTTCCAGGTTACATACTACAGTCTTTTCCAATTGTCGAAAAAACGTTGTAATCGAAACTAAGCAGTCTTGGATGCGCCCTGTACCCTTCTTCGGCTCAGTTTGTAAACTACTTAAAATAGGGTCACAATTATGATTTCGACCGAAATGATTTCCCCGTCTTCTATCTGGATCTATTTGTAGAAATCTCTGAATTGTTGAAACTTTCGTTTCAGGCAACTTCTCGTTAGCTGAAGCTCATTCATGGCTGTCGATGACTGTGCCAGGAGTCCCGTCAAAACCACCACCGAGTGACTCGGTGACCGTGAATTACCAGTCGACATCCAATGCTCCAACTCAACTCCAGGCCAACTATTCGTGAGATTTAACCTTTCTATTGTTAGTCAACACCGTACCACTACAACATACATTATGTTTGTGGTGCTTCACAGGCGAGGATCGATTTCGTTCCGATCCGACTCGATATCAACGATAGCGATCATTCGTGATATCATCAGCGAAGAAGAGACTACGAAATCGACAAATCAAAGTGCAAATTTCGTGCGGTAAGCTCCTTTTGTGTACATAAAAACTTCTCGTAGAGGAACTAATGAGAGGTTGGCGGGGCCGCAGACAAATAGGCAAACAACGCCTTAGAAAGTGCCAGCTTAAACACTCCATTATATACTACATGATACTACTCATGTTAGCTATTGGGTTTATTTGTATGATGATCTTTTCGTGCAGCTGTGATTAATGTGCTTGGGAAGCGTTGCCGTAGCAGCAAATTTCTTCCCAAACTAAGTCATACCTTCCAGCTGTAATCCAAAGATGTCCTGAGAACGGCCCCTAGACAGCGACCGTCACAATTGTTCCAAAAGGTCATGGAATGCTTTTCAAAAGCCTCTTAGAACGACATTGCAAAACAAGCGATCACGACAGCTGAGAGGTGGTGCGGTTCGAGCGACGTCATTGAATTCATTGGGGGAAAGACGTTCAGAAGCCGGGTCAATCTATGCCTCCCCTGCTCGCTGAGGGTCCTAGTCACCAATGACGTCCAACGACGTCGCCAACCGCACCGCTCTCCAGCCATAATGATCACTGCCTTTGGGATGGGACCTGCTCGATTTCGATTGGCGTTAATCTTGTAGAGGGGAGAGAGAAACGGTATGAGCTACCGTGCCTTTAACAATTCGAAAAAAAAGCATTGCTCGAGCTGTTTTTCGTTAAACATGGCCCAATAAAGCAATTCGAGGAAAAAGACTATGCTGTACTTATGCTACATATACATATTCCACTCCCTAGAAGGAACATCGCATAGCTTCAGCATCAATTCCATTTTCTCGGCGGTTGCCGGACAACGTTTCTGCAGCCGCGCATGAAAATTACCAAACGATGCCACACTCAGTAATAATATGAAACCATAGCAAATCAAGAGCGTTCAGGAAGCAAACGTGAATCGATTTTTTGATATGCTTCGCAACTCGTTAATAGCATAGGTCCGCCAAGTGCGACAAGCAGGTCAACGGGAAACAGCTTGAGAGAATAAGGATAAAACATTGACCCGTTTGATCATCCTTTTTGGGAATGCGGCACGACATTCTATCTTCATTTCTTAATTCGGTAGTGGCGTCCCCGCCTTGGATGCAATTGGCCGTATACAATGCGAGCTCACAGGTCATGCCGATGTACAAATTCAGGTTTATATCTCCCAGACAAGTCTGAGACTACCTAATAAACGACCGCGAGGGGCATGGAAGGCTTAGTTGGCCGGCACAACGCACTTAGCCAGTGATTCGATCCCCGCGAACTGCGTCAAGTAAGCGTCCACTACACCACTGCAGAGTGAAGATCTGTAGTTCTGAATAGTAGTGCCATCAAACTTCAGAAAAAGATTCTCGACCTATTTTCATTGTGTCGTTTTTTGCAGATGTGAACGATGCTAGTGTAGGACTTTTGCTGAAACTGATGCATCCACGTATGACACATCTGTTAAACCTGGAGAGACGAAAGCTGAATGGCCGCCGCATTGAAGGTGCGCATAACTTGGCGTTTTCGAAAATCCTTTTTCTCGAACTAGTCTTTGTATCCCTATAATTATTGATCTTGCCACGTTCCAACCGGTAAGACCACATGACAGTTGTGTTTTTTCAGGAACTTGAAGTGAACAGCGGTGACATTTCCTTCTTATCGGAGCAGAACAAGAAAATTCTTCAGGAACACGATAAAATTTTCCAAGACGCTGAGAAGGATTCTATTGAGGTTCGATAATACACCCGATATCCTGCTTGTATTGTTTCTTATGACTTCAGAATGTACTGGCTTGACGGCTCTTCCACAGAATCGATACACTCAGAGATTGGAAGAACTTGTGATTAGGAACAAACAGTCACCACTCTAGAGAGCGTTGGCTCGAAGGTGTCTCCTGTCCAGACGTTCCTCGGCCCACATAAGCGGGTACCCTACACGGAAGCCCGGTCGGGCTGCGACAGAAGCAGGAGACCATATTAGGCGAGGACGAGTCGCACCGCGTACTACAGTGATTTCACGCCAAGGTCATCAGAATGTACTGTATTACGTCCCAACGCTTCCGCTGACCCGTCTGCGTTTCTGTCATCTCGTCGCGCGAAGGGCCTCTTGTCGAGGTATTCCCATAACCTGTCCAAAAATAGCTCCGCTCAAGTCATGACCCATACTGCCCCCAAGCCACCTTGGCGTGTGTGCAGCAGCGTGGTACTTTCCTTATCTCAAGCAAAAAGAAGCATTTAGTAGCATAGTTAGCACGAAATGCAATGAGTGGTCGTATGCCATGAACCATTACTCAGTGACAGCAAAACGACAACAGATAACTGACACCTTGCATACCGCCGTGAACCGCACCAGTAAGGGAGATCTCACGATAAGGTGGAAGGTGATAAAGGAAGGAAATGTATACCTAGTCGAAAGGCAGCGGATCCACTGAAAGGAGAGTAACGATGACCAAAACGCGCATCGTTACTCACCCTTCAGTGGTCCGCCTGCCTTTCTGCAAGGAAGGGTAGGCCTCACCACCGACCAGCGGCGCCTGCCCGCGTCTCGCGCGCCGCTGCCCACCCAACGTTTCACTGTCTGACTTTAGCCGCTTGCCAAAGAGCGTTACCGTGGAAGAAGGTGGCACTTATGGAAGTCGCGTCAATGGGACTAAGAGAGGGCATGCTTCTTAAGCTCTAGGCCGCCCTACTTGGGTTCCAGTCGTTTCAGGTTCCTCACTAACCGCTTCCACCTTCTTTTTGAATGGTCGTGACCTTCTACTTTAAAATTTTGACTATACTGTTGTGTTAATTATGTATCTGTTTGACGCGAATTTACTCCTATATCCTTCAGGAGAAGTAACATTTGCGGACTATACGAAGCACTGCTGCTGAACCGAGCTCGTTTGCATGGTCAAAATGCTCGAGGGGAAAAAACGGGAAGCTCTTCGTGATCCTTTTACTGAACAATTACAGCTTGGAAAAAGTTATTGCATTTTTCAAAGCAGCAAATGATGAATCGTCACTGCGGTACTGAAATAAAACTTATTGATTTTTTGTTGTCCAGAAGTTAACAATACACAAGAAGCGAGCCCACAGACAATTTAGAGCGCTTCCAAGCGCCCACGCGAGTCATATTTGTAGCCAGCGAAGCCGACTTCGCATTTTTTATTTATTTATTTATTTATGCGCCCCAATGACGCGCTCTTACACACTGGGTAGGTGATGCAAACACTAAATCAACATTGCATAAATACTTAATAAATAGACAAGAGGATCGGAGTCGTACCATCTAACCGCTATCATAGTGGGAAACAGCCATCGTAGAGGAAAAAAAGTCAATGGTAAGAAGTAATAAAGCAGAGACCGAGACAGAAGAACACCCTAGCCAACAAGTGGAAATCCGGCAGACACCCACACCAGTCGGCAATGGTGCCCTGGTAGCGCCACAATTGCATTGATGAAACAATTGAAATAAAGGCAGCGCACAGGAAGTTACTTAGTCATAACAGACCTCTTTCTTCTAATAGTCACAATCTGTCAGCGTCTATTACTTGTTCTACCAGTTCTTTCTTGAAGCTTCTTGTTTTTCCAACCATGAGTTCGCGAATCCCACTACTAACCTTACCGAAAGGGCTTGCCATGTTTATGAGGGTAATTCAGTTAGCGTTCCCTCTGCCCGCACTCAATGGACAAACAATCATTCGCAATGAGTATATCCTGCCACTTCTGCGCTTGCGCAGCACCACAACTTCTCCTTTCGCGATATGAGATGAATACCACAGCTATTCGCAGCTGTATTACACCTATGTCTCCACGGAGGCGTCGGTGGGCAACTCCAGTCGCAGGTTTGCCAGGCATGCGAGCCTCTAAAGATTCGGAACTATGCACGAAACCTGCATGGTCCCATGCCCTCACAGAGCCCACATGCCTTCCACATACTTTTTCCTTATTCGTTCTCTGACCATCATGGAATCCTCTTCGATATGAAGGCAGTTGATGCTGAAGCACCGCTATGAAGGTATGTTATGAAGGTAGTTGATAGGATAAATTGATACTCAGCCGAAAATGGAAGTGGAGAGGTAGCGTATTGCGCAGCCAGTGAAATATGACCCTCATTCTAACCCGTGGGTATCTTATTCAAACGAGCCAGCGACCAGGGCAGAGGTAGCACGGGTGAGCTTACCGTGATAGTCGACATCGATAGTGATCCATCAAAACATTAAAAAACTATGCGAAAGATGATCTACGTTATCGATAACTATCAAACTTTGACTCCATTAACCAGTAAAGTCGCGCTTATTTGTTCGGAAATCATTAAACGAATGAAAAGGCCCGGATTAGTTGGGAAAAAGAGAGAGCATATAGAAACCACATTCCTCGGGATATTTGCAGCACTGCGAGGAAGAGGAGGGAAAACACGCGAGAGCACGTCGGAAGTGAGAGGGCGCAGACCCCACGTAGGCAGTGATTAATAAAAATGGCAGCGGCCGCAGCGGTCAAGTAGAGGCAATGGCTTCCTTCGCACACATCTTTCAGTTCACGCAGTATAATGAACCCTGTGATTCAAGCCCCTTACCTCACTGGAGTTGAAAATTCCTCTCAGGATTGAATCGATCCGTGCCTTTAGGCCATCGTGCAACATAAGAGGAAAGTATGTTCGCAACCTTGTTCGTGGCATTGCTCGGCAAATAAGGAAGACAGGTTTGCATTAAGTGTTACAGAGCATATTCCTTATCTAGACCGACCCCCTCGACATGCTTCCATTGTGGAGAGATGTTTAGAGACCACAGTCAGACGTGATAGCGTTATCATTGATCCATATAATACTGCATGCAATGAAGGACGGTAAGTTCTATTTGGCAGCGGCTGTCACTAGGAAGTGGTTGGTCTACAACTACACGCTGTACAATGTTTGTGGTGAGTGACTGTGAGAATTTCAACAATCGCAGACTATACCCAGACCTGCTTCACTTTCAGAGAAAAAGAGCAACAAGAGCAAGATCACCGTTACCGCAAGAGGAGCAGAGCGAAAATATCTTCGAATGCCGACGACAAAAGGCACTTTTTCTGACTTGCTTTGTCAAAAATCCATGGCTCTATTAGGAACCAGCCGATAGCGTGGGTATGGCCCCCATGTGATGTTTCTGTGGGATGTGTCCCAACCTCAGGCAGGCCAATCAGGTTGAAGGCATGCCCCAGGATGGAATTGGTGCAGTTCTTGCACATGAGTACGGATGTATCTGTGCGAAATGAGCCGGTGGTAAAGAAAAAAGCGAAAGAATCCGTCGAAAACTCTTATGGAGTGTTCAGAGTTGGCGACCGTAAGTGCGATCAAGCGATTAGGCGACTAGGCGAGTAGGCGATAGAGGAGGGTACGTATTGATTTGTTGCTCCGCCCATTGGGCGATCGCCTAATCGCCTACTCGCCTACTCGCCTACAACGCTCTGAGGGTGGAGCAAATCAATCAATACGTATGTGTCTTTCTTCACCGCCTTTCGCCTAATCGCCTGGTTGCACGTACGATCGCCAACTATGAACGCTCCATCAGGTTGACCACCGTTGCAGTTGCAGCAGCTTACTTTGCAGGGCCTTCTAAGCGCTTTTATCGGTTGCACGGGAATGCCACATCTGTTAATGTCCTCTAGAATTCTATCCTACAGGTAGTAGGAAATCGTTTGCACGACTTCTGCCTGGGTTTTGCCTTCGAAATGAGTATTGCCTCCTCCAGACAAACCCTAATGGTGCATGTACCGAACAAATCTACCATCTCGATAAGCTGAGTGAGCATGGCTCTTTGGCAGAGTTTTGAGACTCCCTTCATTAACTGCCCAATTTCAGGGCCCAGGATCAGGATCACCACGATTACGAAATTTCAAGTCAGTGAGCAATACCATCCCTGCAGAAGTTGAAAAGATTTTAGATGATTACGTCGATCGCCTCGTCACGATGGGTAAATATTGCACTTCTGCTCTTTTATTCAGAAAATACTGAATCCTGTTACTCTTTATAATACACCAGTTTGGCTCCGCTCGCTACCGCGTGCATATCAAAGCGGGCTTCATTGGAAATGAGCACAGAGAGCTTCTGTTTAAAGCAACAATCCAGGAACGAATTCGCGGGTAAGGACCACCTATAATGACGTTGCAGGTGAGAAGTTGGTCAATGGAGAAAGAAAAAGTAGAAAAACGTCGGGCAGGGGCTTAGACAGGGACTCCCCCTGCCGTTTAGGGAGAGACGTGTGTTGGACGAGTTGTCCGAACCTGCCCGTACATGCGCTCCAATTGCAACTGCTGGCAAATAGCCATGCATGCTTGCAAATACATAACTATTTGCCAGCAATCGAAATTGAAGCGCTTCAATTGCGTTCTTATGGAATCGACCTCATACAGCGCGGCGGTCCCGCAACGACCGCTAGTCGAGCAAGCGCTCTGCACAGCTGCTTGGAGGCGGCCCCACCACGGATCGGTGGATCCGCCCCTCTTGAAGGATTTCGACTGCTTCCAACGCCTTTCAGAGGTAAGTTTTGAAGTTTGTGACATTTCCCATGAACTCCAATCAGGCTGAGGCATGTTTCCATACCATGGTTGAAACCCTGCCTGGACTGTTCGGTTCAAACGAGGAGCATTTGCCTTTCGATCTTTTGAATGATGTCAAAGGTTTGTATAGCACACGAGAGAAACGCAGCTATTTCTCGAGCTTCTTCAATACCCATAAACATCCACCATTGGGACTGACATTTCTAGCGGCTGAATAAGCTTGGATTACTAACTACAACTACTTGTACTGCTTACTATCAGCCATTAGCGGAAAACAACCACCATGTTTGGATGCTGGGGAGGTTTAGCGGTTGAGTTAAGTTCTGGTGGTAATGATATTGCATGCAAACACAAACAATATCCTACTATATATAATCGGCTAAGCGGTTGTGTGTGTGTGTCTGTGTGTGTATGTGTTTGTCTGTCTGACCGGAAATTCATAGCTCGGGCACCAGTGGTCGTCAGGAGTTGGTTTCAAGATATGATATAGGGGGTGGGACGGGAACATATTTGGTGGGGTAAAGAAAGTGATCACAACTGATAAGGGCTGATAAAAGGCGCTAGAACGCAAGTGTCGCGAAATTCATAGCTCGGGCACCAGTGGTCGTCAGGAGTTGGTTTCAAGATATGATATAGGGGGTGGGACGGGAACATATTTTGTGGGGGTCACAAAGTGATAACGACTGATAAGAGCAGATAAGAGGCGCTGAAACACAATTTTCACGAAATTCATAGTGCGCTTCGCAGCAGTCGTCAGGAGCTGATTTTGGGACATGATATAGGGGTGGGACGGGAACATATTTGGTGGGGGTCAAAAAGTGATAACGACAGATGAGGACTGATAATTACGATATGCGTACGAACGTAGAGATTACTCGAAACCAGATTGCAGATAATGCATTTCATTTCAATATCATTTCATTAGCGTTATAATTGTAAATTCAAACACCTTTCAACCGCTACACCTTCTAGAGTTCTTGAGGATGAATGGGATGCTCTAATAAATTTGATAGTGAATACTGGGCATTCCGTCTTGAGATTACCAAAAATTATTCGACCGCTAAATTTCCTCGATTCTCGATGCATGGTGGTTGTTTACATACATCACTTTAGCTGTGCACTTCACTGCGCTTATCAAACAGTGAGATACAGCCAAGATGGGCAACGGACAGTAATGCATTTAACGAAGCAGCTATAGTTAAGCGGTGAAACCCAAAGCTTCACCGATTGTCAGTTTTTCAAGGCTTCCGTGTCATGCGCGCGGTAGCGGGCGGAGCTAAACTGGTATTCATAACACCGACCATCTTGTGATGATTGGAAAGG